GGAGGCTTATCAAACAACAATCTTTCACTTTCTAATTGGTTGTTATCTTAGTGGGCGGTACATTTGAATTACGCGCGTGCCTGATAATTCCAGCTCGTGCGAATAAAAATGTCATGTTAATCAGCTTTACATACATCTCAAAATGTCCTGGAGAAGAAATATGGTTGGTGGTCATTATTCCTATGGTAGTGGGTATCCAATGCAAAAGAGAATTGAAGTCATCGTAACCTACATAAATTCTGGGTMGTATTGTGCCACAGCGCGTATCTGTAAAGTAAGCTACAACAGTGTAAGAAASCTCGTGGAGCTATTTCAACAAAAGGCCTCATTGCTGCCTCAGTTCCGTAACAATTCTCGACCAAACAAAATACCTTGGTTGGAGACCTATGTAGAGGCCATTCWTGTTCTTTACCCAACAATGTACATAAAAGAAATACAACAGCTGGTTGTGGACGACTTTGGTCTGACGYCACAAGACACTCCGTCATGTTCTTGGATTAGAAAACTGCTGAGAAGGGCTCATATAACCAGGAAGAAGTGCACTGTTGTTGCAATAGAACGGTTTACACCATATATTTATCTACAGCGGCAGAATTTTTTCCAGTGGCGACAAACTGTAGATCCAAGGGATATTTATTTCTTCGATWAGAGTTCATTTTCTTCTGAAACCGATCAACGTAAGTATGGATACAGCGAGTGTGGTTTTGCACTACCAGCATACCGGAACAAGAGGCCAACATTGAGTAATTCARTTCTAAGTGCCATAGGCTATCGAGAGGGGGTTCTTATGGCTATWCCCGTTCAAGGAAGTTTCAATGTTGAGCTTGTGAATGAAGTCATTCAACATCAAATTTTGCCATTAATTCCTAACAATTGTTATCTAGTGGCGGACAACGCAAGGGTACACAATGAGGCAGGTCTAGCTGCCATTCTAAATGCAAAGAATATAACACTTGTGATGTTGCCTACCTATAGCTATGATCTTAATCCAATAGAGATGGTGTTCGGTCTAGTCAAAGCCCTCGTTCGGAAGACACCAGGGAAAATTCAAGAAAATATGCTTCTAGCTGTTGTTAACGGTTTTATCCAATTGCCCGCAGTATGCGTAAGGAATTTTCACGCTCGGTCGTGGAGAATATTTCGCTAGCATTAAATATAATYTAGCTGTACTGCTTTGTTACAAAATGCATGATGCAAAACAAGTAATGTTTGTGTTGCATTTAATT